CCATGCCCTGGGAAGTAGGTCTTCATCTAGAAGAATTATGACGCCTCATGGTGAAAGCCGAGTTCCTTCGGAAGTCACGAGGCCGGTGCCCCTTCTGACAACCAGAGCAACCATTTATTTAGGTACATGGAATACTCGTGCAATGTGGGAGAACGGGAGATTCTTCTGCATTGCTGTAGACATGAAGAGACACAACTTGGAGGTGCTTGGAATCAATGGATTTATATGTTTAATCAGTTCGCCCAATATTCGTTTTTCAATAGTTATCAGCCTAAGGTTAGTTCATGATGTAAACTACGAAATCAAATGATCTTCAAAAAAACTCGCTATACTACTACTAATAATCATATGTTCATTCATGAGTAATTTTGAAATGATTACAGGAATTCTAGTACACAATTGTGAGCAGTGGATTTTATCATGTTGGAAGCGAAACAACTATCTGCCAGCGGGATTAGAAGATGGTTGGTCAATGTAAAGAATTGACTAATTTTGGAAATGTAATCCGTTCAACGTCAACTTTGAGGTATGAAGGTTAAGAGATCACTGTGAACATGAAGGTCGTAGATGAATAGTGGTAAATAAAGTTTCATATTACGATGAAATAGTTTTCCAGCATCCTAGTTTTCAACAGGTTTCTAAGTAAGGCTGTTTGTGCTGTAAACTATGAAATTCGATAACATTCACGAAAAACTGTGTTATCGCTTTTTTTCTTTTAAAATACACTTCAGATTGATGACTTGGGATATAAATCATTATAATTAGAAAGAACAATAACAACTGTTATTTAAAAAAAGACTTTTGCATATGAAAAGAATAGACAAATCTACCAGTGGAGTCCAACCAGTTCTGTTGTGAGATAGTAACTCATTGAAGACAATGACGATTGTGTCGCTCAATTTCGTGGATTAGTTGAAGTAAGACATTAGCACAATTGGATGCCGGCAAGTTGGATATTGTTTCCAAAACACTGAGTGAGAGAAAAAAACAAAAAAATATACACAAAGAATAAAATAATACTTGTTATAGTTATATGATATACCCTTGTGGGTCAGGTTAATTTTACATTGGTTTTCAAGAGAACCCGACACCATCCAGACTTTCACGTGACAACCCAAACAGTACAGTTCAATCCCGTTTAACAGGAGAGCCAGACACCGCCCAGACTTAAATTTTATAACGCATGCAGTACAGCTCAATCCCTCTTCATAGAAGAACCAGACACTGTATAGGCTTTAACTCTAAAATCTCAACAGTACAGTTCAATCCTGTGGCGCAACCACACAGGTACCAAGCACATTGGTGGACCATTCGCACCATTCATATACACATTCACATCGTATGCAGTTATTCCGAACAATGATCACGTGAGTCAATTATGCACATTACGAACAGGCCAAAGTTGACCTATTCCGCTTACACGACAGTCAAACTCAATAATGTTAGCAATGGCAACATGCCTTACAATGTCACAATGACAATGGCCCTTGAGAACACTGAAAAGCAACCACCAGTATGAATGAAGTCAGTTAACCAGCAAACCAATTTTACATATGAACAGTCAGCAAAACTTGCCGAAGCAATGCCGAACCATCCGCAATACGAACGGCGAATCTCCAGTCTCATATCAGACCTTCAGCTCTACATAGCCATATAATTCAAGATGTTAGTATAATATAAGTCGGATGGGTGCAGGATATTGCCTTGAGAACTACGGAAAAACGAGCTTGATTTTCTTCTCTTTGGATTGTCAACAGTTATGCTGATCTTCTTGACATTCTCTCAGCTATGCTATTAGACTCTTATACAACAATGATTCTATTTGGGATTTTTCTTATGATTTTATTGATTACATGTTCCATTAGTCATTGTTATTATGTAATAGTTGGAAATTGGAACTCTCAATTGCCCATGATTTATTGAGTGTGTTATGCAGGAGGTTTTCAGTGCTTCGATTGGATTGTGAAAATCAGTGAATATAATGCTTATCGATCGATGGATGCAATGAAATGAAATGTGATCGAGTAATACCGATTCACGAAAATGTCTTATTGATTTGAGCCCCAAAATGATTCGATATCAAAGATAAGACCACTAAGCTAAAAGAATAGGTATATTATGTAATAAAACAACATGCTTTACATACTAAATATGGGCATAAAATAAACATAATCAAAATATCATAAAGAATTAATGGAAATTAACTTGAAGGTTACTCATTCACCAATAGATTGAGACCTAACTGTTGAGCCTAATCTTTACGCATTATAATGAGGTGGGTTTCTTTCGTTCATTTGAATAATTTTAAGTCATTTACCATAAAGTACACATTTATTTATTCCAGTGAGAAGAGAACTTTTAGAATGAGAACTACTGATACTACTACTTATTTATTTTACTAATTTGTTTAAACACATAAACATTGATACAAGAAAATGTCAAACATATATGCTTCATATAGATGACACAATTTCTGTGAGAGTACCAAAATCGAAACAGGTGATTCTCTTAGGGGGTGCGCACTCTGAGCCTTTGCCCTAAAGGTCTAATCTACAATGCAGTAGAGCAACGTTAGGAGAGGCAGTCCCATGGTAACCGGTGACCAACAATACGTTCATATACCATTTGTTCCTTCAAGATCCTGGAGCCCATGTTCACCAGTCGTTTGGGATCAGGCTTTCCAGATCCCCTAGATGGATTTTCAATATCCACAAACTTGATTAAAGTGCCGGATATTCGCTTTTTATCCACTCGATTTCTTGAACAACAGTAATGCTGCGAGAAAGAAGTGGGTAGGACTTCCATGTCAGTGATTGTATGCACATGATCACTTGAGAGCACTTCGAGAAAGAGAGACGACACTCCCCATTGTTGGCCCAACCAGGGTATTTGGAGGCTACAAGTATTTAATTATAGTTATTTTCAGATAATTGGTCAAGTTTCTCTGAACCATTAATTTGGTAATCTTAATATTAGGCATAGAGTGTTAAATATATATTCAAGTTAGATCTTCGTCAACGGAGTTTTATATACAACATGACCAATTCAGACAACACCTACGCCGTAGTGCTAACCTGGATAATGTACATATATGTTATACGACATTACCCTCCACCTATAGAGTCATTGACTCTTACTGTAAACAGTGTAAAAACATATTGACTATGAAGTTGAAAGCTGGAATACAATCATGTCCAATATTTGAGGAAATTATATGACAGAGAGTCACAGTGACACAGATTCATTCACTGAGTACACTTTCGTCAGTTTTGAATATAGGATTATTATATATTTTGAATTTGCTGATTCTAATTGTTTCTTACCAACGCCTTTTAAATTTTTAATTTTGTTCCAAGCATTTTATTCACTTACAGATATGAGATAAATTCACATTTAATGTCATGCATCATACAATTCTGCTTTAAACAGGTATCTAACTTGGAAGCTGTCTAACATTGTAAGTAAGTTATTAATGATGTTGACGTGAATTGACATACTTGATCAGAAGATATAAAACATGTATATAACTATCAAATATAATAATACATTGTAGGAGCTGAATAGATAAATAGATCCTTTCAAGGTGATTTGAATAACAGCTACAGATTGATGTGTGGTCGATGCTACTTATATCAAGAATTATAAGTAGTATGTAACACTAATTAGAAGTGGAATGGTTAGCAGTAGAAGATTGAGAAGATCGAATTGAAGAAAACAGGGATAGTAATATCAATAGTAATAAAAGAAACGTTCAAACACAGAGAATATGGTGTGAAAAGAAAAAATGAATTCGTGAAATAAAGATAATGTTAATACTACAAATTGAACTGAGAGACAGTAACGTCGATCTTGATCAGTGTCATTTAAGATCTTCATCTAATGAATGAAATTGTCTCACGTTCAATAAAATAACGAAATCCACCTCTTCATAAACAGCTCAGATCAATAGCCAACATCGTTTAAAGAATTGTAAATAATTTTTATCAACTGAGGTGGTTGAGACATGCGTATCGTATACCTAACCACTGTCTGCCTCAACAGGACATGTTGTCTGGTGTAAGAATAGGATGAAACAAAGATGGGGGTGCACAAACAAAACATATGGCATCTGTCCATGAAATCACTCACAATAAAAATAAGTCATGTTTGTACGTGTAGACTGCCTGGTTGGGGTCTGCGTGATCATCGAAATCAGTGGTTACAGACTTCGAATGACATGGCTCAGAATCATTTGTTTGTGCCACAGCTTCATTCGTTCTTCGGTTTCATCAAAATTCTGAGCTTCTGAATTGCTCATAGTGTCCTTGGCTTTCATTTTACTGATTTATATTTTCCTGAATCGTATCTTCGATGCCTAGTCTGTAGCGTCTAGTACTATTTCACACCAACACGAGTTGTTCTAGCTTTCAGACAAACCGTTTAATTTATTCTTCCTACATCACATTTTGACCTTTTCAATTATTAACTCAGCAATCCTGACTGATTTCAATTGAGCGTGTGTGTGTGCGTTGCTCACCCTATTCATCACATGGCTTCAACTTATTTTCGTCTGACTATATATATTGAATCATACTTGATCAAATTGTGTTGGCGCACTTGCATTCCCCAGTCTGCTTCACCACCTCGTTTCTCTTATTGTCTGTCTCGGATAACCAGTGTATAAAATATACCTTGTCAAACTTCATTCTCTTATTTGATTTATTCTGTTATTCTGTAACGCGACTTAAGTCGATAATTATATGAGAGGGTAGGTTGGATGTATATTTCATTAACATCATCGTTCGACCAAATTGGAGTCAGACCAATAGGCCACTAAGTCTTTTCTGTTACCACTGTTACTGTAACTACTCCTACTACTCTGAGATCCGCTCTAACAATTTCATCTTGCAGTGCAAATGAAGTGTTGCAACTTGAACCGATATACATATGTACAAGGTTTTACGTTGCGACTGACTAAATGACTGATAGAGTACTATTATCAATATAATATGAAAACTAACCTTGGATTGATTGGTTTCATTGGATCACCTAATAGAGCAGACAAAGTATGACCAACTGATTCACTTAAAGTATTCAGATAAGAACCACCCTTGAAAAACCAATGACGACAAAAAGTTTAACAACAACAATAACAAGTGACAGTAATATAAGCAAATTAAAAAGAATTCACAATCGAATGATAGGAACTGGAACTACCTTTCATTCATTCAAAGCACAAATAATTTAAAGAAAGCTATGAAGTAAATTAATAGTATTATTTTCTACTCCCACTCAAGACCTTCTTACGGTGAGCGGTGTTTTTATGAAAATGAGAAGACGATAGGCAAATGTACAGCACTTCAATCGGGTTGGTGGATAAAGAGTATTCACCTACAGAAATTGGAAAACTCTGATTCAAAACCAATGTTGTGAATGAACTCCAGTATCCTGAGGGAATCAATTGTGTTTGAACCTATTCTTAGTTACCAGCTACCATGGAACCACATTTCACAACCCTACTCCACCACCTTATGGATTGAATCTCTAGATCAAAGACTTGGGGAGTGGCCCTCTAAGAAAACAATCTGCTTTGGTTCAGGCAATCAAACAGTATTCCAGCCCATATACGAATTCAATGATAACTAATTTGTATGGCGTATAAATATTAGAGTTGCCAATGTACCAATATTTATATGTTCCAATAAAATAAAATAAACAATTTTTTCGAAAGTAATGCTTTATTCTATGAACTAACAGCAGTCCAAGTAACATGAACACAGAAATTTTACTTCTTATTTTATGGTACCATAGAATAGTGTGCACGACAAGGATGAAAACTGTGCAAGAAATTGAAAAAAATTTTCAACAATATACAATAAAATACATAGATTTTTAGTGACTAGTTTCGAACCCGAGCTTATATATATATATATATATATATATATATATATATATATATTGAATAAATGAATAAACTTATCATAATGACAATCAGAAGTAGCCTAATTAGAAGATCAATCGATGGCAATCAGAAGTGACCTCGCGGACAAGTGCTCTTCATTGGCTAAGAATTGGACAAATTTACTTGAAATTAGAGTGGTATACATATGAATGAGTATTTGTGCATTTTATTCTGTAGTCAAATACACTTTGTCGTTCAAGTAGTCAGTTAGGGGTGGGGGGTTAGTACACTGTGTAATAATATCAGATTTTGAACACCGTTCATCACAACAACAGTTGTCAAATCTCCTTTCTTCAGTCTCTTTCTTGTTTGCTTATTTTTGTGCCCAACAATATACTTACTTAGTTTATGATGATAATATGTCCAAGCATTTTATGAACTTGTGACATGTTACATTTACCTATTGTAATGTGCCAATAATCTTATATGTTACTTTATTGATTTTGTAGGCATACTGTTTAGTTTCCGTTGATAATTTCTAAAAAAAACTGATCAATACAGATATGTACTGTATTCTAATTCTGTTGTAATTTAGTTAGTGACTAACTATTTGAATGATTTGCTAACTTTAAGGTTGTATTTTTAACATCTGAATATCTGACTTGTATCAATAATTGTTTTCATGATTACTACAGTTGTCAAATAAGAAATTGCACGTACCGATTTCGAAACTTTGTATATCACTCGAATCTTCAAAAAGACTCGATAGTAGTAATATGTACATTCGTCATATTTAGGTCAGATGTCTCACGCCGTTTATAAATGAAGGGGATATGAGTAAAGCAGTTATTAGTTTCATAGAGAGGAACTACCATAAGATAATAATAATAATAGTATTACTAATAAAAGTCCTTAATATGTTAATGGAGTGCTTACTTACCACAGGACAGACGAATGAAGAATCATTTCCAGCGGAAACAAGTACTAATTCCGGATCAAACTGAGAAAGAATGAAAACAGAATCAATAGACAGAAAACGGTTAGTCAACGAAACTGGCATAGTAGCCAACAAAGATCAACACAAAAATTAAGCTGATCTCTACAAAACCCTTTCAACTAAAAATATAGTTATTGGACCTACTTCATACACTTATTTTAAATACGGGAAATCTCTACAAGTGATCTAGATAGAAGTGTAAGACAAACAGAAAATGTTTAAGTTGTTTTTACAATGGCTACTTAGCAAACTGGTAAGATGTAATGATCGTTCATTGTAATCGTGCTACTATAACTGACTTTAATTGAAACTTGTGGTTGTCGATTTGACTTGACACACTTTGCACATGGATCATATTTCTTTTTGCCACCTCTTGAGATTAAGCTGAATAAAGTAGTTCTTCTTTTTGAAACATCTTTCTCACTAAGAATTATATCAAACTTCATTTCCAGTGTTCGTTTGCCTACCAAAGAACGAGTTCACTACCACTTAGTTTGTTCATTTCCACTCTATGATTGAGGAACGTGGTCTTTAGGAATAGATGTTCGTAGGTGATTAGCATTTGGTGTACACACCAAATGATGGTGAGCGACCTATGCTCCTTCGCGAGGAGTAACAGGCGTAATTAAAGTAAGTCATGTATACCTTCAAGACATTTCTCGTGCATGTTAGGACTGACGAGTAAGCAACAGTGAGGTAGAGATGACAAATCAGTTGATGGAATTGTGAATCTTGATCGACTGAGTTAATTGGGATATGTATTAAGTGTGCTCAACCATTTCATACTGTGATCTGCAATGTTTGCTGGTAAAGGAGCAGTTTGGAGGAGAACTAGGAATGACTAAACTATGACTAGATTTTAGTATACCTATGACTAAACCTCACATCGTGTCAAAACAGAGAAAATTGGTCACTTATTACACTATGCTCACACTCAAAGTGAGTTGGGGCATGATCTCGTAGCAAGTCATGCCTATGTGTTATTGAAATGGAATTTTCCACGTTCTAATGGATATGTGATATAATTGGTATAGTTGAATTATGTCAAGAGTGAGAGAGCTGTCACTGATGTCAGTAGATGATGATCATAATATACCAGATTTGTGTATTACATCAATTATGAACAATTAATTTCGATCGTATGATTCTTCCCCTTTATTTGTAAACGTAGTGTGCTCTCATTGATTGATATATTTCGATGTGCTCGGCCATATTGAACTGGTCGTTGGAGTAATGAAAAACGAAGCGACGCAGTGAAGGTAGACGAGCCTATTCGATTTGATTAAGCATGATAACAAGTAGGCCTGCTCGAGCATCTGGGCTACCTGTTCCTGCCATCTAGACATTTCACCAAGTTATCTATTTTTGTTTGTTCTAATATATCATTATGTCTATTAATCGCATAAGCTATCCTGGTGCCTTTCTGAAAAGTGTACATGTAGCACGTACTATTAGCGTTTATCTGCAAGCAGGAGCGATCTAAAACACAACACAACAGTCAGGACCGACAGATGCTACTCAAGTGAGAACACGGCGTACGTGCACAACAGAGATATATATTTAAAATTGAATTACGCGGTTTAAGTACAAAAAGGGGAGTCCATTACAAAATGGTTTTACTCATTATCCCGCAGGTTTAATTTGCGCAAGCTTTGTTCTTCTCCTTCTAGTACGTTCACTTTCTGTTGCCCTGAAACAAGGAAAACAAACTTGCATCAGTAAAGTCACACGTAATGGTTTTTGATACTGATACATACAACCTTTCGTTGTCAAAAATACAGAAAGCTCAATAAGTGACAATGTGGTTGCTGGCAATGTACAACGAAAAGAATGTTCATTTACTGTACTGCTAACATCTAACTGGTGATCACTCAATATATATCGTCAGGACCGACCAAGAAGAAAGAAACAGAAATTTGTTGAAATACTTTGCGCTGAGAATTCTATATTGTACCAAAAATATAATATTGAATAAAGCTTATAATAATAATAATGATTAAGTATCTATAGCCAGACAAGAATAAGTTGAAGACATGTGATGGATAGGGTAAGTAATGTACACACACGCTCATTATAAAATCTGACATGAAAAGAATGAATGAAGAGGTCTGTCAGAAAGCTAGAATAACCCATGTGAGTTTGATAATAATGTCCTGGTAAGGCCGAGAGTGGGGAGAGTCCGCTGTCCTTCTCCAGACGCTCTCACATCGCAACGCGTGTTGGACCAAAAAGTGGACTTAACATTCTGCCTCCAGCCGTTTTACCTTCGATTAATGGTAAATACTACTTGTATTTGTCGAAAACAGTAGCACACAACAAAATACCTGTTCCCTACCTCCTCTTTTTTTTAGTCATTATGACAAGTTTATTTATTTATTCAATATATATATATATATATATATAAGCTCGGGTTCGAAACCAGCCAGACAAGAATAAGTTGAAGCCATGTGATGAATAGGGTGAGCAACGCACACACACACGCTCAATTGAAATCAGTCAGGATTGCTGAGTTAATAATTGAAAAGGTCAAAATGTGATGTAGGAAGAATAAATTAAACGGTTTGTCTGAAAGCTAGAACAACTCGTGTTGGTGTGAAATAGTACTAGACGCTACAGACTAGGCATCGAAGATACGATTCAGGAAAATATAAATCAGTAAAATGAAAGCCAAGGACACTATGAGCAATTCAGAAGCTCAGAATTTTGATGAAACCGAAGAACGAATGAAGCTGTGGCACAAACAAATGATTCTGAGCCATGTCATTCGAAGTCTGTAACCACTGATTTCGATGATCACGCAGACCCCAACCAGGCAGTCTACACGTACAAACATGACTTATTTTTATTGTGAGTGATTTCATGGACAGATGCCATATGTTTTGTTTGTGCACCCCCATCTTTGTTTCATCCTATTCTTACACCAGACAACATGTCCTGTTGAGGCAGACAGTGGTTAGGTATACGATACGCATGTCTCAACCACCTCAGTTGATAAAAATTATTTACAATTCTTTAAACGATGTTGGCTATTGATCTGAGCTGTTTATGAAGAGGTGGATTTCGTTATTTTATTGAACGTGAGACAATTTCATTCATTAGATGAAGATCTTAAATGACACTGATCAAGATCGACGTTACTGTCTCTCAGTTCAATTTGTAGTATTAACATTATCTTTATTTCACGAATTCATTTTTTCTTTTCACACCATATTCTCTGTGTTTGAACGTTTCTTTTATTACTATTGATATTACTATCCCTGTTTTCTTCAATTCGATCTTCTCAATCTTCTACTGCTAACCATTCCACTTCTAATTAGTGTTACATACTACTTATAATTCTTGATATAAGTAGCATCGACCACACATCAATCTGTAGCTGTTATTCAAATCACCTTGAAAGGATCTATTTATCTATTCAGCTCCTACAATGTATTATTATATTTGATAGTTATATACATGTTTTATATCTTCTGATCAAGTATGTCAATTCACGTCAACATCATTAATAACTTACTTACAATGTTAGACAGCTTCCAAGTTAGATACCTGTTTAAAGCAGAATTGTATGATGCATGACATTAAATGTGAATTTATCTCATATCTGTAAGTGAATAAAATGCTTGGAACAAAATTAAAAATTTAAAAGGCGTTGGTAAGAAACAATTAGAATCAGCAAATTCAAAATATATAATAATCCTATATTCAAAACTGACGAAAGTGTACTCAGTGAATGAATCTGTGTCACTGTGACTCTCTGTCATATAATTTCCTCAAATATTGGACATGATTGTATTCCAGCTTTCAACTTCATAGTCAATATGTTTTTACACTGTTTACAGTAAGAGTCAATGACTCTATAGGTGGAGGGTAATGTCGTATAACATATATGTACATTATCCAGGTTAGCACTACGGCGTAGGTGTTGTCTGAATTGGTCATGTTGTATATAAAACTCCGTTGACGAAGATCTAACTTGAATATATATTTAACACTCTATGCCTAATATTAAGATTACCAAATTAATGGTTCAGAGAAACTTGACCAATTATCTGAAAATAACTATAATTAAATACTTGTAGCCTCCAAATACCCTGGTTGGGCCAACAATGGGGAGTGTCGTCTCTCTTTCTCGAAGTGCTCTCAAGTGATCATGTGCATACAATCACTGACATGGAAGTCCTACCCACTTCTTTCTCGCAGCATTACTGTTGTTCAAGAAATCGAGTGGATAAAAAGCGAATATCCGGCACTTTAATCAAGTTTGTGGATATTGAAAATCCATCTAGGGGATCTGGAAAGCCTGATCCCAAACGACTGGTGAACATGGGCTCCAGGATCTTGAAGGAACAAATGGTATATGAACGTATTGTTGGTCACCGGTTACCATGGGACTGCCTCTCCTAACGTTGCTCTACTGCATTGTAGATTAGACCTTTAGGGCAAAGGCTCAGAGTGCGCACCCCCTAAGAGAATCACCTGTTTCGATTTTGGTACTCTCACAGAAATTGTGTCATCTATATGAAGCATATATGTTTGACATTTTCTTGTATCAATGTTTATGTGTTTAAACAAATTAGTAAAATAAATAAGTAGTAGTATCAGTAGTTCTCATTCTAAAAGTTCTCTTCTCACTGGAATAAATAAATGTGTACTTTATGGTAAATGACTTAGAATTATTCAAATGAACGAAAGAAACCCACCTCATTATAATGCGTAAAGATTAGGCTCAACAGTTAGGTCTCAATCTATTGGTGAATGAGTAACCTTCAAGTTAATTTCCATTAATTCTTTATGATATTTTGATTATGTTTATTTTATGCCCATATTTAGTATGTAAAGCATGTTGTTTTATTACATAATATACCTATTCTTTTAGCTTAGTGGTCTTATCTTTGATATCGAATCATTTTGGGGCTCAAATCAATAAGACATTTTCGTGAATCGGTATTACTCGATCACATTTCATTTCATTGCATCCATCGATCGATAAGCATTATATTCACTGATTTTCACAATCCAATCGAAGCACTGAAAACCTCCTGCATAACACACTCAATAAATCA